CCTACATGCTTCACTTTTCATTTTGTTTTTTTTTTTTTCGCGTTCTTGAAACTAACCTCATCTTTTGACTTGTGGTCTTGAAGTTAACACAATCGCTGCTGTTGTTGCTGCAAAAGCCTACTAGCTCCGTCAAAGTTGAGGAAATCATTTCCTGCAAGGAGGCTCTTGTTTCTCCTAAGAATTTTGATATGGAGAACGTGGTGTTTGAAAGTTTTGAGTACGACCTTTACCAAAGAGTACTTGAAGAAAAGTTCTCGTGGGAATGTCCTGAATCATTACCTGAACGGCTGTCCCAATCATCTCTTGCTTCTAAAAGGAAAATGCCACCGGTGGAAGGCCCTAACAGGCGTGCCAAAGGGGAACACTCTTCTGTTGACATACTGACCCAAAATACAATGTCACGAGGAACTGGTCCTGCACCACTCGCTCCTGCTCCAACCCGTAGAGATGCATTTAGACAGCGTAAGCCGAATACCAGCAGGCCTCCCTCTATGCATGTGGATGATTATGTTGCCAGGGAAAGGAGTATTGACACTGTTGGTAATACTAATGCCATAACCATTTCAAGGGCCGGATCTAGCAGTGGGAGACCCCCATCTATTCACGTTGATGAATTTATGGCCAGGCAAAGAGAACGTGGCCAGAATGCTTCTTCCATTGTGGTTGGAGAGACAGTGATACAAGTGAAAACCCCCACTCCAGATGTTAGGGATGCTAAAAAATCCTCTTGTAAGCCCAAACAGTTGAAAACTGATCCTGATGATGATCTGCAAGGAATAGATATAGTATTTGATGGTGAGGAATCTGACGAACCTGATGACAAGTTACCCTTTCTTCAACCTGATGATAACCTTCTGCAGCCTGCTCCTGTTTTGGCGGAACAAAATTCTCCTCATTCCATTGTTGAAGAGACCGAGAGTGATGCAAATGGAAGTAGTCAATTCTCTCACATGGGTACACCGTTAACATCTAATCTCGATGAGAATGCTCAAAGTGAATTTTCCTCCAGGATGTCAGTTTCACGGTCTGAAATGCCATTAGCTCGGGAATCAAGCATTTCATCAGACAGGAAATTTGAGCAAGCTGAGGACCCAAAGAAAATAGCTTCTCTGAAGAGCGCAGGTATATCTGAATCTGGGTTTACATCTGTGTATAACCCCATCCCAGGATCGTCGGGTCAAATTCTGACTGATTCTAGGATGGGTCCTCAAGGCTTTTATCCAAAGAGTAGTCAACAACATGCCGGCAGTACTCACGGTGTGTCCAGTTCTCGAGGGATTTACGATCAGAAAGCTATGGCCAAGCAGCCTCCTTTACCACTGGTGCCTCCTCCGTCAATCTCACCAGTAGTGCCACATTCTTCTGAACCTCTATCAAGTCAATCTTCCCCATTTATTAGCCATGGAACACCACCTTCAGGCGGACCTATCCGGCTTTTGGCACCACTCCCTTCAACATCACCTCCATTCTCATCTAACCCATATGCCTCGTTGCCACCCAGGGCATCTACGTTTCAAACTTTTGGATACAACCAGGCAGGTGGAGGAACCAATGAAATACCGCAAAGTTCTCATGGCATTGATTCTCAGTCGGGTGGTCTTTCTGCTTCAGGTACTGGAATGACCACTTACCCTCTCCCACCTTTAATGCCATCCCCTGCTTTTAGTAGACCGACTTCTCTCCCCGTGCCATTCTATGGAAATCCTCCACATCAAGGAAGTGAAAAGCCACAGAGCATATTGCCTCCTCCCTCCATGCCTCAATCTTCCATGCAATCGGTAAACCCACAGTCAATACCTCAGTTACAGCAGATGCAGTTTCCGCAGCTACAACGCCCTTTGCAGCTTCCTCAACATGTCAGGCCACCCATGCAGATGTCTCAGCCTATGGACCAGGGGGTATCATTACAAAATCCTTATCAGGTTCCTTTGCATCAGATGCAGATGATGCAACAGACTCAAGTCCCTCAGGTGCAACCTTACTATCAACCCTCTCAACAACAGGAGATGTCTCAGGTGCAGCAACAATCACAGCCAGTTCAAAATCAGCAAGGAGCTGCTGGTACATCCCAGCAACAACAAGAATCGGGAATGTCGTTACATGAATACTTCAAATCTCCAGAAGCCATTCAGGTTTGTCATCCTCATACCCGATAAAAGTTTGAATGTTTTTTGTTTAATACTATGTACTGTAGTTAATTGCAGCTATCCATCTCCTTTATGTGGTAGGCTCTTCTGAGTGACCGCAACAAATTGTGTCAGCTTTTGGAGCAACATCCAAAGTTAATGCAAATGCTCCAGGTTCGTTTCCTGATTCCTTTTTTCTCCTTTTATTCCTTGTGTCTTGAATTCTCCAGGGCAGAAGCTTCCCCATTTTCAATGGTCAGGTTTAGATGTCATTCTCTCTCGTCATGTTCTATTGTTGCAAGTATGGCATGAGATGAGTTCCCATTTGGCTTTGACAAACAGAGTTCGGGTTTTTCCATACGCAAGTCGTGATTGTTTCGAAAGACTCTCGGGTTTTCGTCCCCGTTTCCCTTGCCTCCATTGATTTCAAGACTTGAACTGCGTGTATCTATTCTGTTTTTTGTTTAATCAAAGCTCACTTATGTTTTGTTTTATGACTGTTACAGGAGAAATTGGGGCAACTTTAACCAGAAGGAAAGGAAGTTGGCGGCGGCAACTTAAACAAGATAGAAGATGTTAGATTCAACTTTAGGACAATCTGATTTTTGTTTTTTTTTTGTTTTTGGGTTGTAGGCATAAACACCAGTCAGTCCAGCTTCTGTACTTTGTATGTTAAATGTACATTTAATTTTGATTTAAGTGACAAAACCAGTGACTGATAATGATTTGTCTTCACGTTGCTTTTCTTCGCGTTTCATGTTTAGCATTTTTTTTACCAACCGATTCGAATTAAGTTTTACAAATGCAGGTCGGTTACTACTTGGAACTATGATTCCCTTTCTCCTGTTTTTATTTTTTGAAAAAAAATATTTACTGCATGACAACGCATCGGAAAAATTTTCTGGAAAAAATACAACATCTCCATGAGACCTCATCTATGTAAATTGTATTTGCAGCCATTGGGAGGTTATAAATAAAAGATTCGAGTAAGAAAAAGTGGTAATAGAAAGGGATCCTAAATTTAATCTAGATTTTTTTTTGGTAAACGGGTGTTTTGTGCTGAAACGAATAAACCATGCGATTGGAATTATGTTTCATCTCTGACTGAATTATGTTTCATCTCTGACTTAAGGCTTGAACTCGGGACATACAGACTTTTTGTATCCCATTTCACCGTTTAATTTATAAAAGTTGGGTTTAATCTAAAATTATTATGCATTTATTTATCATTACAAAAATAATATCGAAATAAGAGGGGAAAAGTGAATATGAAGAATTCTGTGGGTGTGAGTGAATATCCATTATATTTGTAATAACATACTACTTTCACTAGAGAAAGATATATATCCCCACCGAACTCATATCCAAAATTATAAAGATTCGAAATCTGATATTGTATTGTATCCGTATATCTCGATGTTCCAACTTTGACTATGCGCATTTTTTTTTAAAATAACGATAATTTTATTTATTTTTTAATTATATGAGATATTTTTGCTATTTAAAAATAATTTAGTAATTAAAAATATTAATGACAATTTCTTAATTTTAAAAAAATATTAGATGTATTTTGTAGTTTTGTGTGTTATTTGCATGTATTAATCCTTGAAATGAAAGATTCTGTAGAGATATTATATGTCGTATCCAAACTCAATTCACAGGGTTCATACATTATCGTTTCTAATTATATATGGCGATTTATGTACGTGAGTAGGTACCCTTGGAAACGCAAGTAGAACAAAACACTACTCATCTTTAACATCATCTTTAAATCCCAGCGTCGTTACTTACACGAAATTTAAAAATATAATACTAATTAAAAACCCTATAAATGGCGAAACCCCCATTTTTAAATGGAAAATACTCAAAATACTACCCATGAGAGGAGATCACAGCTCTCTTTTAAACCATGCAAATGCATACACATCATACGATAAGAGAGAGAGAGAGAGAGAGAGAGAGAGAGAGAGAGAGAGAGAGAGAGAGAGAGAGATTTCTAGATACATAGAAATCCAAAGAAATGAATCAAACAAACCCTTAATGAAATTAAATGCATTGAACAGATCAAAGAGTATAAATCTCAAGCCTTTGGCCGAGTACTTGAAGAGCTTACAAGCTTAGTGAGTAGAGCTTCGTCGACGCAAGGAAACTTCTTGAACTCATCACAATGAACCCTAAGTATCTCCTTGGCTTTCTCCTTCAAGTTCACAGCAAAATCCACCTGAAGCACCGTACAAAGCTTAGATACTGTTCCAACAGTCACCATCTCTTGAACCACCGTATTAGCCGACGAAAACTTTGACACGAGATTGAGAATGGCGATTGCTCTATCGTCTGCAGCCGGAGAAATCCTAAATACCCTTTTCGTTACGGTGGCGATGCTGCCTTGGTGCGCAAGGAACCGTGACCTACCCTCTGCGCAAGAACACAGACGAGACAAAACACCGAGTACGAGCTCAGTGGTTCGTTTCTCGGTGGGCACTGAGTTCAGTTCGAGTTCGATGAGTTCGTGGACTGCGCCTGACTCGATGATGCTGACTCGGTTTCGGCTCCATGGAGAAGTTTCCAGAAGAATCATAAGAGCTGCACTCACAGCTTGTTTAATAACCGAGTTCTTTTCTTTTGCCCAGACGTCTCTCCTAGGGTTTGAGTTCATCCTGTTTACATCTCTTATAAACCCTAAAATCCCTCTAAAAACCTCGGGATTTAATCTCTCGACTATATGAGAAGACGTATGTTCCGTTAGAGTCCTTAAAAGCTCGATCGTATACGACCTGTTCATCATAATCTTGATCGTATCCGATTCCATCCGTAGAATCCACGTTAAAGATTCCAAGATTCGGTCATCGTCCATCAAGATCGTTCTTGCTTCATCCGATGGAACACCGATCAAGTGAAGAACGTGCAGAGATTCTTCGATCCCTTCGATTATCCCCTCGTTGAAGCTCTTCACGATGAACGAGATCATAGATCTTTGAACACCGGCTTCGACCATCAGCCTTCTGTTTCTGTCACTCTCCATAGCCAAAGCTTCGATCTTTTTCACCGTCTCCCTCTTCGAATCCAGATCTTTGACCATCTCCACAACGTTCGATATCTCCAAACGAGCTCTCGGGGTCGGGATCCTATCGACGCCACGTGTAGCGTTATCCAAGCACCAAGATTGGATCAAACGTCGCAACGTGTGGTTAGGAGTCAAAAGATCCGAATCCTCGGGCAAGGGGAGCTTCGTGACCGGACAAAACACGATCACGCTCGCGTTCTTGATCTTGTTCTTGCTCTTGCTCTTGATCTTGTCGGAGATCCATCTCTCGATGCTTTCACGGTCGTAGGTGATGCCGGTGATGGTGGTTACGGGGTCTCTCATGATCTGAAGCGAGATTGGACAGATGAAGTATTCAGGGATCTCGATCTCATCATCCATTGAAATTAATGGAAACTATTGAATAATTTCTTTAAGGAAATATATATAATGTGTGTCTGTGTATATATATACGTATGTGATTGTAATGATGTTTTTTTTAACGTGGAGGTATTAAAAGAGGCAATAATGAAGGAGGAAGTGGACTTTGTTGATTCTTGGGTTGGAGAGTGTTAAATAAGGTGGTAAGAGATTGCGGCTTCGTTTACTTTGAATTCCAACCGAATTATTCGTTATATATTTATTTATTTATTTATTCTTCCAACCGTCTTCTACTTTTACATATAATTAAACATACATTGTGTGTATATATACATACATACGTATATAAAATGAAATCACGATACAATGCTAAAGAGACTATCTAGAGTTAGTTTGAAAAATTATTTAATTTTAATTTTATTATTATTGAGGCATAAATAACATAATATTTGGAAAATCGAATAAGTCTATAATCAAATAGCAAAACTATAATTTATGAGAAATTATTTAGCTAAATAAACTAATAATTATAACACACGGTCACGATATATAAATTGCAATTTAAAGAGATTAAACGATCGTTTGCATGATTTGCTCTCAGATACATTCTTGATTAAAAATTAAAGTCATTTTGTTGATAATGCTGTCGGTTTTCATTTAACCAGTATGAACAAAGTTTGATCTATAATAAGATAAATAAATACGAAAAAAAAACATCACCTAAAAAATCAATAAAATACCATAAATTATAAAAAATAATAATAAAAATTAGTTCTATACAAAGAAAAAAGAAAAGAAAAAGTCGGTCCACCCTCCATTCTGGCGTACTTTATAACTTGCAAGGTTTTATTAGCAGCTCCCTACGAATCAACTTGTACCCATTCAGTTGACCATGCAATGTCAATCACAATATTCAACATATAATATATATATATATATATGTATTTATCAGTATATATATATATATATATATATATAGTTTTGTGTACATTTCTGCGTGTATTTGTATACGCATGTATGTGTAAAAAATAAAGAGCTGAAAATGTCAAGCACATATGTCTCTATTTGTCGGAAAGATAAGGAAACATTATTGGAGCGACTCTTTTTTTTCTCCATTAACCAAAAAATTATTCTAAAATATCACAAATTTGATGCTATTTTCTATTATATGATATATATTAAAAGACAAACTACTTTTTTTAAATATGTAAATAAAAACAAAAGAAAAAAGAGAAAAATAATGAAACAGAGAAAAATTAATATAAATATATACATATATATAATACATCGGAGAAAAATAGAAATATATATGGCATTATTATTATTATTATTATGTTATATATATAACTAAAAAAATCAAATTAGCAATTAATGTCGTGCATTAATTTACAATCCCTTGGTATTCTAAAAACTTGTTAGAAAATCTGTAATACTATAAAATACACAAGTGTTTATAAAGATAAGATTATATGTTACATTGTCGCATTCCTTATGGTTATATCCCCAATATATTACCCTTGAAATCTGTCACTGAAAATGAAAACTGAGGCCCTCAGCCCCAAAGAACACAGAAATCAGCAGTCCTCTCAAAAAGACCCAACAAGATTCAGACATATACGAACCGTCTAAAAGATGATTTGTCCCATAAGCCCAACATTTGTCCGACACACATAACGCCACTCCCCAAGTAGGCATAAAAAAAAATTGGGAGAGAGAGAGAGTTAGATGATATCTATCAGAGTGGTCTCGGCAGATGCAAGATCAAAGCGGCAGTTCTTGTCCGTTCGAAGAAATCTCGACATTCGGAGAAGATAAGGTAAGGTATTGGTATTGGTATTGGATTTAGCTTCCGAGAATCTTTTTTTTTTTGTTTCTTCTTTTCATTTCAATTTAATGTTCTTTTCTCTCAAATGGGTAGTTCATGGCTCTCTTCAAGATTCAATTTTTGGATTTTTTTTCCCTATTTTTGGTTAAAGTTTCATGCTTTTTGTGGGTACGAGCTCGTATTTGACTAGGGTTTCATCCGTTCTATGAAAATCTGCTTGCTTTTCGTGCTCCTTACCCAGTGAATCTCCATGACTTTGTTTGAATCAGAGGACTAAGAGAGTTCTTCAGGACAAAAGGGAAAACTATATGTATTGGGGCAATGTGTTCATCGTAGCCCATATGTACCTTTATATTACCATTTTATCACAGCTCTGAACTTTGCTTTTATGCCCTGTCGGATCTTTATATGGCTCGCTCCATAATGAACTAGTGATCGAGATCCCCTTTATACTTCAATTGAATCTAAGGTTAGAATCTGTGGTGGGCTGTTGCTTTGAAATTTGTTTGCATTATATGTTCATTGTTGATGAATTGTGGAATCTGTTGGAATTCACTCATACTTATGGTGGGTGTTTCACCCTGTCTCTGAGACCATAAACTGGGATCTTCTCTGGAAAACGGAGATACAATGTGTTGGTAATACATGAATTTGCCGAATTTTCCTGACTTGATGCTTTGATTTATCCGGAATCCGGGTAACGGAGATACAATCTGTCATTATTCACAGCTACTAAACGGAAACACGCTACACTTTTCTCTAAGATGTTACACACTATCTCTTGAGTCATGCTTTCCTGGCCAAAGATATTATCAAGATTACGTTTTTGGTTGAGAACTCCACAGTTTGAATTTTCTTTGTCTGGACATTTTGTTCCTACATCCATTCATGTGGCCCTTTCGTTCAATTGACACGGAAAATCTCTCAGTGATCAACCATTTTCAGTTTATTGTCATTTCCCCCCCTCTCTTAATGCGTTATTCTGTGTTCAGGTGCTGAGATGCATATAGGTCACGGCTATTAGTCAGCGTTTGCTTTATGGAGCCTCGAGTAAGTATGTTGCCCATTTTCTTGTGTAAAAAAATGACAAGTGACATTCTGGGTTCTGGTGTTTGTTTATCTAGAAGACAAAAACTGCCATCCTTGTCTTCCTCAGTTATTCAGATTCTGCAGTATCGTATAATGTAATGATTACTCAGTGCTAATACATGTTCTTCTGGTTAATTTTTCTCAGGAAAACCATGCAGGGGCTTCATGTACATTCGGTGATCGATCAAGCAGTGATATAGTTGTGAGGCTAAGAAACGAGGAAGGCCGTGACGACTGGATATACTGCCACTCCAAAATCCTTAGTGAGAAGAGCAAGTATTTCGCTGACCGTCTCTCTGACAAGTGGCCTACTTGCAAGATTCTTGATTCCCGGTACTGTGTGGAAGTCTACTGTCAAGAATCAGACTATGACCATCACATCAATCTGTTACGGCTTCTGTATGTTGTTTCCGATGTCTTGGAGGATAACTCGTGGCATAACGTGAAAAATGCACTGGGTGTTCTCCGGGTGGCCATAGAGCTCGGATGCCCCAAGATCATGACTGCTTGTGTGAACTACTTGGAAGCTGTTCCATGGGAAGAGGGCGAGGAAGAGGAGATTTTGAGGATTATACCTGGGATGGGATCGGAGGCAGAACCTATTCTTGCTCGTCTTCAACCGGTCAACCCGTCAGCTGTGATGGGCATCTTCATGTCGGCCTTTAGATTTGCTACATCATCCCCACCTCCCCCGATGAACGACATCAAATCCTCGGCCCAAGAACAGCTTGAATACATGATTACTGAAGATGACGATGGCCCTTTGTTGACGGCTGACGACAAAATCAAGCTGGAGGTAAAGGAATGTGTTAAGGGCCTATTCGTTAGATTCTTTAACTGCCTAGAAGTTATGTTACTCAAACCAGCTGAGCCTGAATCTTACGAAACCCGAGCATTCCTCTTGCTTTTGTCGGATTTGTCATGGGCTTTTCAGATCTTGACGAAGATGGAGATTGTGAGAGACTTTGTGATAACTTGGGTAGACTCATCCGACAAGGTGGTTAAGGTTGTCGAGAAACTAGAAACAACGCCAGAGATGGTAGAAGTAAGATTCAAGGTCATAGAAGTGGCTTCGAAAGTTCTAGAGGCCATAAGCTGTGGCACTGTCATATTACCGACTGGGAAACGGCTTCAGATGGTAAAGCTATGGCTTCCGGTGGTAAGAAACACGAAACCCTTGATTGATTCTGCCGTTACAGATGACGAGGAAGCAGTCACGTTCAAGATCGACGGAGAAATATGGCAGGCCACAGAATCTTCCTTCGTCTCCATAATTCTTGCATTGCCATCTTCAGACCAGGCTGAGATATTGACGGACTGGTTAGGGAAGAACGGATTATATCCAGACCTGACAGAAGCCTTCGAGGTTTGGTGTTACCGGTCAAAGGTTGCAAAGAGGAGATTGGCATTGCTCGGCAACGAGGACGGTATGTCATAACTCCATGATTCAGAACGATCGATCCATTGATCCTTTGATTGCATCTTAATCTTTTTGTCTCAAACTCAAGGAGGGCTTATGCATGAAATGAAAACTGTTTTAAACTGGGGGGGGGGTCTTCATCTCCCTCAGGCTCATGATTAGGTCTCTTAGTCAACCCTTTTGTGTTCTTTGCCAATTATGCCTTGGCAGTCCTTCGAATTTGTAAATACTGTGACAAGATCGTCTCTTTAATCGTAAAGAAGTTCTGAAATTTCTTGTTCAGTCTGGTTAGGGAAGAGTTCTTGCTCTGTTTCATCTCTGTTTTTGTGGATCTATATATTACAGACTTAGTTTCTTGTAACCAATGCTTTTGTTTTGGTCTACCGAATACAGCTTACAAATTATGCTAAACCCTGGATTTTCCTAATAGTGATTCCTTCTCAAATCATTCGATGAGACGTATAGAGCTATACTATGTATACCGTAACAGTTTCCTTGTTCCCCAAGAAACGAGAAGAGAGCAGTAAGTGTCCGAACCCACTGTTCTTGTTTCCTTATCCATCTTGCAATGTATCATCAGGTAACGAAGTCTGGTAATAACTGTGACAGGAACCTCCTCTGGTTCTGCAGATTGATTGGGTTGTATGCAGCTGGTGAAGTTCGAGGCTCAGAGGCACCAAACTCGTTTGGTTCAGACATTTCCACGTTCCGACCGATCTGAATGTTCTGATTTGGGAAGAAGTTCTGATGCGTTGCTGAAACCGAGAAGCTTTCGCAGTGAGGGAGACCTAGCGTGAGGGAAACTCCATTGATGTTGCCTGAATAACTCGGTGTGAATTCCTCGGCCTCGAATCTCCCGGTTTCGCAAATGGGGTATGGCCCGAAACCTCCGATGAAGTTTGTGTTGTTTGCGAAAAACGGAAACTCTTTCTCGTCTCTGAATCTCGGGGAAATGTTGTCATTCCTCACTTCTCCAACCTTGTCAGCATCCATTTCCATGGAGGGGACGAGCTCTGGAGAGTGCAAGAGTTCGTCTGTACGCAGTTTTTTCGGGTTCCCTTGCATGTTTCCTTCGAATTCAGACACTCCCAAGATCGAGAATCCAGTTTCTGAAACCGAGGCGCTTAGAGGAACAGATATTGAGATGCTGCTGCTATGGCCATTGTTGTTCATGAAACTGTTCTGTGGAACTTCAGAAACAGGGATCTTCTCTTGCTTAGCGATGTAACCAACCGATTTAGGCATCGAATCTTCGTCTTGATTCACGTTCGGGCTGATCTTCTCCTTTGTGGAATCGTTGTTCTTGTCTTGATCCTTCGTTTCTTCGACATACATCTCTTCCACCATCGGTTTCCAGAGACGAACACGAGCGTTTATGAACCAGTTCGACACCTGAAAACATTTCATAACCCACCATAAAAAGTTTTCTTTCTTCAAACATTATGATAGCGTTACGAATACATGAAATTTCGATGTAGATTCCGGTATGAAAAAACCGGTACCTGGCTCCTGGTCAGACCGGTTTGTTTAGCCAGCATAATCTTGTCTGAATCCTTCGGATATCTGACAAAGTATGAGAATTTACAGAAACCACCGAAACCCAAGAACAGAAACAAGTTTCTACTTCTCATGACAACGTCAAATCCTCAAAAGATTGAAGAAGATTCTATATAGAATATTTTCTTTCGGAGTCTGCATCATTAGTTCATTGTTTAAGAACCCTAATCCGATTTCTATAACCGCAGTTTCTGCATTGTTTTCGTGTGAATCTTCAACCTACCTGTCACGTTTTCTCTTTCTGGGTAGAAGGGTATTCACTCACGGGCAGTCTCCATTGATGAATGGTTAGATCCCTAACGATCTTTGGTTCATTGAAAACAAGTAAAGATATATAGAGAAGCGGTTTTCGTTTCTTACGGGTGAAGAAAATGGTCGAAGAGCCAGGCTCGGAGAACAGTGACCGCTCTCTCGGGCAATCCACGTTGAGGCCTCCAAGCATTGTTGCTCTGTTGAACCATTCCGTGCCTAAGGTTATGGTCCAAGAACTTAAGCTTGGGCTCTTCTTGGCCTAAGTACTTGCTGAAAGCTTTGATCTGACCGATAATGGCGTCTTTCAAGCTCCTGAATTGCTTGGAGATGGTCTCGAGAGCGAGAGATGTGTACGTTCTGGCCGAACCCGAGCCTGCGACCTGTTCGAAGGACGACACTATCATCTTCATCTGGTTGTTGTATTGCTTGTACCTTTGGTCCACCTTCAAGAACGATGAAGAATGCAACAGAACCAATCTTTTTATATGACATAAACGTACTATATATAAGCATCTTTATTTATAACATCATCGTTAATAAACGTAATATCGATCGGAGTTTAGACATCTTAATATATGATGATGACAGTCTTTGCATGTATAAAAATTTCGTTATTAATTTATTATATTTAGTAGGTAAATTGGTTAAAAACGAACCTCATCAAGCATGATAACTAGCCTTGCTTTCTTCATCTGAATCTCTTGTCCCTCCGCCGCAGCCTTGCCGCCAGTTTCCTCACCTCCGGCGGATTCTCCGGTGGTTTTTTCGTCCACGTCATCGCCGGTTCTCTTGGACGACAAGCTTATACCATTCTTGTTCTCAGTCCCTGTCTTATTATCATTAACACTAACAACCTCTTTAAGAAGCTCTTGAACAGCCATTAAGTACTTGGATCTCGACACAAATCCCTGAAGATTCGAGGCCAAGATGCTGTCCCTCGACTTTTGCTGCTGCTCGGAGGAGAGGCTGAGTGAGAGCCCCTGCTGGTAAGCGCGTGTCGCCTCACGCGCCGCCTCTATGGGCGTGCCATACACGCGCGGGATGAAGCCATGCAACACAGCTGATGGAACGTTGTTGTTTCGGTAGCCGTGGAAACGTTGCGGCGGCGCGTGGGGTGAGGCGAGGAGGTTTCCGGTGGAGGATGCGGCGGCAGAGGAGGAGCTTGGAGGAGGGTCTTGGTCGACGACGGAGTTGAAGTGGACGTAAGTTGCAGAATTCGTGAGGACCATCTTGTGCAAAGCTTAATCCTCCGCCGCCGCCGCGGTCTCCGTCTTCTCCGCCGGGAAATCCAAGGTTTCCGGTGAATCACGTGGCCTTGGAAAATAAAACGGCGGTGAAGTGAAGCGATCGTTCAAGCTATAACAAGAAGTCATAATTAAGTACATGTTCGATGACATATACACACACAAACTACGTTAATTAGCTATATATATATTTAATACTAACATGATAATCCATGGAAGAACAAAGTTTTTGAATAAAATAAAGCAATCACCAGAAATCAAAGAAAATAGATATACGTGTATACATACATGTTCGCCGACATATACAGACACACAACACTTGGACTACAAATATATATATATGTGTGTGTATTTATCATTTTGTCGGTCGAAAACAAGGGCATAGAAAAGATAATGATCTAGGAATTTACAATTGACTTGATACAAAAACGATATATATTTTGATTGAATTTGGAATAATAATAATAATTTGCGGACGAACAAGTATATGAATAAAGCAAAACATCAACGGAAAATCAAAGTATATATATGTACCTGAATCTAATCTCTGCACGTGTTCTCGATCATATGAACTGATGAAAGAAAGCAAAAGCTAAAGACCCCATACAGAGAGAGAGAGAGAGAGAGAGAGAGAGAGAGAGAGAGAGAGATGCAATGATAACGAGGAAGAGAAAGGAACAGAAGTCACCTGTCCACGTATAGTAAGATCTAAAAGATGGCTTTTTATTTTAATTTTTTTTATTTATTTTAAAAATAGTCTATTTTTGCTATGGAGATAGGCATATCTATATATACACACACATACATATATACATATATAATGGTGCAGTTGTAGATTTGGAGAAGCCTCCATGGCCACTCTCAAAGTCTCTGCAACTTCTCTTAACAAAAAGGTGAAGAAGAGAACGCGTGAAAACAAGAACAAAACGATGAGAGGCGAAAAATCAAAGGGACATCCAAAAACAAAAAGATACCCTTCTTTTTTGTTACTTCGCTATTTGTTTTCCATAATTATAGTTATTTTTCTTATTTTTTTTAATAAATATACAGCATCGATGGATAATTAGTTAATTTATAAATATATGAACGAAATAGAATATATGATCTTTTGTTGTTGTTTTTCATAAATTTTATTCTTCCTTTTTTACATTTTTGTTTTTACCTTGTTTATATATATGATCTTATACAACTAATTACTAGCGAACATTTTATAAATATATAACATCGACGAATAACTAGGTAATTTATAAATCAATGAACGAAATAGAAGATATGGTCGAAATTCCATTTTTTTAAAAAATATATCAAATTTCTATCAACGTCATTCAAGTATCACAAACGGTAGTAGTCATGTCGATAGCTAAATTAATAGTAGTAAAAATAAAACGAAATTTCAAACAAAATAACGTCATACTTATGAATGATGAAACCTTGTCCAAATATCTCTAAAAACACTAATAAATTTGTGAAGGCTCATGAAATTGGAAAATCAAAATTTTATAATAAGAAATTATATGTAATTTCTCTAAATTAGATGTTTGATGCAACACGGTCCAAGCAAGCAAGGCATAAGGAAGAAATTATTTCCTCGAGGAGAGAGAAAAAAATACAATGTTAATTAGATTTTACTATTTTAATTGACTAGTGTCATTAGAGTTTGAAATAAATAAAAACAATAAATATCTTGTCGTTTCCAAAAATTTCTTTTTCGATGAATATAATTTTTTGTGGTTGGATGCAAGAGTTTGAAGATAAAGCTATTAAATTGGCAAGGGAACACAAAACCAACCACTATGCTACACCTAACCTTTTTATTTTTATTTATTATTTGTTATTTTCCTTTGGTGGGACCTCAAATACATTTATTTGAATACTTTAGTATGATAGCATTGTTGGGACCAAGGTTTATTTGAATTTTTGTGTATTAAGATTTGACATCCATGTACATGTTCATACCTCTATGCTTTTTTTGGTAAAGTATTTTTTTGTAAAGATCTACACTTATATATATATATATATATATATATTATCA